TCTCTCTCTCTCTCTCTCTCTCTTTCTTTCTTTCTCTTTTTTCTCTCTCTCTTTCTTTCTCTTCCTCTCTCTCTATCTCCTCTCTCTCTCTCTTTCTCGCTCTCTCTCTCTGTCTCTCTCTCTCTCTCTTTCTTTCTTTCTCTTTTTTTCTCTCTCTGTCTCTTCCTCTCTCTCTCTTTCTCGCTCTCTTTCTGTCTCTCTCTCTCTATCTCTCTCTCTCTCTATCTACCTACCTATCTATCTCTCTCTCTCTCTCTCGCTCTCTCTCTCTCTCTCTCTCTCTCGCTCTTGCTCTCGCTTTCTTTCATATCCACTGGATTCTTCAACTGGAGCTTCCTGACCTTAGGAACCGACAGTTAGAGACTTTCTTCCTGTCTTTCTTTTGGCTAGGTCGAGGCGAGCCAGACTATCAGATCCTACCATGATAATGAGAATAAAGAGGTTGACGATGATAATAACAATATACCTAAGAAAGGATGTATCTATAGTCGTAACTAGTGTAGACATCACGATGGGAAGTAATAGATGTGGCACTTCTGTCAAATTTTATTCTTTGATAATTTCTCAACAAAGACGCTGATACATTGAAAAATACATCATTAAGGGACAGTTACAACAAATTGGCGAGGAAACATTTTTTTTTATGATGCCTGAAATAATTCCCAAGTATATCATATTTGAAACTTTGAATCTTATTGACACCTGGCAAGATATAATCTCACTTTATTCAGGATTACAACCCACAGTCGCCATTCACTCTATCATGAATCTAAGACATCGTAAACTCAAAGTAATGTAGCACCTATTCAATAAGGTCCAGCCTCCTCAGCATCCTCATCTGAGCCCTCCTCCTCTCCCTCTCCCTCTCTGCCGCCTGAGGACGCTGCGCCCTCCTCCTCAGCCACAGGGGAAGCATCGCCCGCAGAACTTCGCCGACCTCCTGCCGGAACTGGCGACTTCGCATGTTGTAGACCCAGGGGTTCCATGAGCACCCGGAGAGGAACGTCCACCAGCCCAGGTATCGGAAAAGGTCCTCCTGGACGAAGAAGGTGTCCGTCAGGTTCACGACGATGAACGCGCCGACGGGAAGGGTCGACAGCATGAAGAGGAAAGTGAGAATGCACATTGTAGTGAGGATCTGGCGATTTTCCTTCTGATACGGGCCTGAAACCCTCATGTTCCGTTTCTTCCAACCTGCGACGACCTTCGCTTGTTCCTGCACAAAGGTGCCAATTGACACCAAGGAAGTTATCACAGTCAAGACGCACAGTACCGACAGCACAAATATGTGGCAGGAGTAAGTCCATCGTAACACTTCTCCAATTTTCTCATTAGATATCGAAACCGGTAGCTTGTTAAAACTCGACCACGTCACTGAGAACAAACCGTCTCCGTTATACATATAGAAAAGAGTGTCCATGATGGCCAGTGACCAAGTCAAGAAGACGGCGATCTTGACCCGAGGGACCGTGAAGTAATGCTGATAGCGATGCGCGCGCCCCGTCAAAATGAATCTCTCGACGCTCAGCAAAAAGAGCGTGAGAAGAGACACGAAAGAGCACACCCCAAGTACTAAGCCTTGGAAAAGGCGATAACCGTGAGTCACCGCTGTATGATGATAAAATGACACCGAAGCTGAAGATGAAATTTCACTGTGAAACGTAGCACTCTTTTCATTGAAATCTAGGCTTCCCATGATTGGTAGCAGATGGTCATAGAAGGCCGGGATGACAACGAAGACGCTGGTAAACAAGTCCGCAAACGCGAGCGAGGTGCGGAGGATGCTGGACTCCTCGCTTCTGCGGTCGCTTCTTAGAATCACCGTCACCACCAGCAGGTTCCCGATCGCTCCGAACACGCCTATGAACGCCACAGACGTCGCCATGACAATCTCTCCGACGCGGCACGACAGGGGGAGGTAATCCCAGAACCTGTTGAGTCCTTTCTCTTCAGGCAGTCCCAGCCACGTGACTTCGTAGTAGGGATAACAGCTGGGGAAGAACATGTTTGTCGTCCAGATAATAGTTTTGTTAAATCCACTTTTAATATGTGCTTTAAGTTGATCGTCTTGGTAAAGGTATTTACATGCATTGCGAATGCGGTCGAGCAGTAACAACTGGACGACGATGCCATTCACTTCACGCACGATGACCCTGTATGAGCCATCGCATATGTGGTCAAAGCATTCGTAGTCGTTTCTCATCAGGGACACGGCCCAGAGGACCTCGAAGTACTTGTCCTCTTCTGAGGGCCGCTGGCACCAGCGAGTGTGCAAGAAGAGAGTCCAATCCTCCACACAAAACGTTGAGTATCTCTTCTCCTTACAGATTCCATATTGCCTGAACAATGGAAGGCAGACGTCAATGAAGTCCCGCTGGTGGAATATTTGCAATGTCTTCCCCCTGCCAATGGGATGGATAATTGGCCGGGGAGCGAGTCGACTACCGTACTCTTGCCTGTATTTGTTGAAACATGATTGGAGGATACTGCCGTTTTTCAAGAAAGCACTCACCGATATGTTTAAGCACGTTTTGAAATGCTGCGCAAATTGCTTGAAAGAAGAAGGTGTCTGTGAACATATATCCCGACCTTGGCGCTGTATTAGACCCGATCCGAAGGACTTCCTCCTTCCCGCCCTGACTGGGAATTCGGCCAACGTATTAGAGAAAACAAATGACCCGTTTTGGTATGTGTCAAGGACGTTGGCCTCCTCAGCCGGACGGACCGCTTCCTCCGCTGGTGACACGTCGCCGAGTTCCTGTTGCGGAGCTAAATCTCCACTCACGACAGAGGACATTTCACTGAGCTGAGCCGAAGACGTCAGCAGCACGAACACCGTCGCCAACATCAGCGGGGGAGGCCCTCCTGCCCGCCATCTCGCGGCCACTCGCATCGCCGCGCAGCCTGGAAAACGATCAGATAGAGAAGGGGCTTTAGAATGTCTTGTCGGCCGTAAACAATGTACAGTGCATAATTACCTCTAATGTCATCTATTGTCTTTTATAGTATTATTCTTTATTTTGTGTTATACATCCAATAGTACTAGTATCATCATAATCATCATTATCATTATCATCATCACCATCATCACCATCACCATCAATCATCATCAATCATCATTATCATTATCATCATTATTGACATTGCTATTATTAAATAATGTTTTTCTTGTTATTATTATCATAACTGACATCAACTAAACATTAAGCAAACTTCACATATACATGTATACATAAAGACAAACATATCTACCTACCAACCTACTGCACACACACACACACACACACACACACACACACACACGCACACACACACACACACGCACACACACACACACACGTGGCACTTCAGGTGTTCATGAGCACTGCCTTAGACTCCTGTAATCCTTACTTCGTTGCTTGTTTTCTCCCGTCGATTGCAACACTAGCAAGAGGACTGCCAATATCTACAGGATCCTCAAAGTAGATTTTCTTCCAATCAATTGATATGTACATATAAAGGAGTATCTTATTTAGAATAAATCGTAATTGAACCGTAAAACGCAATTGTCCCAACGTATTCCAAGATTTAAGTTGATGAATATTAACACAGGATGTGGCACCGCGCGTTATCACTTCTCGCTAAATGTTAATGTTCATATTCTAGAAATCCCATAAGAAAGATATATTAGTACGTGAGTATTCACTTTCATTAATTAAAGAGATGAAATTATATCAAATTGGAGGGATTTACCTGGACTGCAGCAATAACGGAAAAAAGATGTGAGTGTCTGGTCTTCTCTCTTAAATATCGCAAAATGGCATATATTATTGGAACCTTCTTGACTTCGCTTCTCGGAGTACATACCAAAGACTTAAGAAAAAGATGGATGTGTGCAATTTGTCTTAGTTATCATTAAGAGCGGAAATTCAATCGTGATAAGTCAAGGGATCAGGTATATAAAATACGAAAATATAATGAGTTTCTTTAGATTTTCGAAGATGAATAGAGAGAGGAAGGAAAATAATTTCATTGACTTGTTCTCCGGGGTTTAGTCTTCAGTGTGCTTGCATGTCAATAAAGCTGTTATATACATGAAAAATAATATCTATGATTGTATGTAAAGAGATAAGCAGTAATGGATGACTTTGCTCTAGATTTGATTAAACAGATATTATCAGTAACATTAATATTATCTATGATTATTGTGTAAATATCTTCGCTTACTGTTCATTCTTTTCCTATTTCTCCCCCCTTCTGCCCTCTGTCTCTGCCTGCATGTCTGTCTGGCTTAATCTCTCTCTCTCTCTCTCTCTCTCTCCCTCTCTCTCTCTCTCTGTCTCTGTCTCTCTCTGTCTCTGTCTCT